AATGTTCGAGTAGAACTTACGTTCGACTCGAACCGGCAGCCCATCTCTGTTTGGGAGTATAAACATGAGATGGCAATGAATATGAATGAGATTTGAGTTAAGGTCCATGCAGAGTCTGACCTGAAATTTGCTTGTTCACTATTTGCCTAGACAGCGAATGAATGGGTTCATTTGCTGCTGCCCCAAAATCAAATCCCCCCATAATGCACTGCATGAGGTTTGAACAATGTCAGGCAGCATAGTGTGGCAAGTAATAGGATTATGCAAGTCTGCCAGCCCGCTCCTGTATAAGTCTTCTTCCCCATCAGTCTTTTGTCAATGTGTGTTGGAGTAGATAGGGACAAGGAGATATAGTTCCTGCTGCTGTACAGTGCTAATTACTAAGCTTTTCAGTGCTATATTGTACCATTACTACATTAGAGTGAACTGCGGTCTGGTGGGCTAAATGAGTGTACTCCCTCTGTGTTTACTGTGCTGTTTAGTGCTCCATTGCTGTGAAATAAATTGTGGTGTGTACCACCCATTGAATTCACAGTGAATAGACTGTACAGTTAGGGCTACCTTTTTTGTGTGTCTCCTGTTTGCTGACTAGTAGTTGTTCCCCCCTTTCTCTTTTATTGATTTTTATGCTTTTGCTAATTACAAAAAAATAGAAAAAGAGTTTCAGGTCATAGTGTTTTAGAGTTGGTGTTTGGGGTTCATACGTTTTTGGAGGGAGACACATTTTATTTCGATACAATTTTGATAAGGTCTTTTATTATTGGGGGCCAGCAGTGTGACAAAGGCAAAACTGTTCTTTGTTAGCAAGACATCACTGCATGCTATTGTGGGCCAGTTTACTGCACCAGATTGTGAAAGTACCAAAAGTACAGTACCACATCCTCAATACCCTTATTGCCAAAGCTGGTAATAAACCTGGGCAATCCTCGGGGTTTTTTTTTTAAATAATACATTTTTTTAAAGAAATAGGTCAATAACAGATGACAAGATCAGTATTCAGACAGATACAGTACAGTAGCTGTACAAAACTTCCAAAGCATATACGTCATTTGGAAAAGAGATATCCATACAAAGGCAAGACAGGTAGCTCAAATGCATATGAACATACAAAGTAGTGTACGTTAGGTAGGTATGGGCCATCTGTGTAGGCCATTTAAATCAACGACCGTAAAGTCAGAACCAAGATAGAAAGAAATAGAGAAGGAGAAAGAAAAAAGTAAAGAATATCGGTCAGTTCAGGCAATCCCCTGTTTTTATCATGTCTTGGAGGCCTATCGGGTGAGGCAGAGGCTCTTCATGCACAGCTAGGCAAGGGAAAATCAAGTTCTGCATCTGCAGGTTATTGTGGTGGTCACGCCACACCTTTGAGAGTCAGGGCACTTTTCCTTTTTTCCTGGCAGTGAGTGTGCTATGCAGTCAGAGGACACAAAGCATAGAGGGTGGCGATGTATACTGTTGCCTAAAAAATTAGCATTCAGGAGTCGGCTGAATTATTTGAGCATACGATCAGTAACTTTCTGCAGGTGGATGTGCAAGAATGAATTTTATCAGATGTTGAGGAAAAGAGCAGCAGGAGCAAAGAAGTAGGGGACCACAGGTACAGAGAAGCAATAGCCAGTGATGTTCCAGGAGCTACAGCTTACTGCCAAGTGAGCTTAAGCAATGAAGAGAATGGGTATCATGAGGTGGCAGACAATACCTGAGTGTTGGAAGCTTCAATGTCATAGGTCGGCTTGAATTATGGGGATGAGTGTATTTCACTCTCCCCATAATTCGTGTTTAAAGAAATCAGGAGTATTAACCAGAGCTACTCAATAAATAGATTTATCTATTTATAGCTACTGATTTTATATATGTATACTGTATATATACAGTATAAACTGAGTGGCCAGATTATTATGACCACCCCATCAGTACTTCGTTAGGCCACCTTTTGCCTTCAATACTGCAGCGATTCTTCTTGGCATTGACTCCACGAGATGTTGAAAGGTGAAGCGAGGAATCTGACACCATGCCTGATGAATAGCACTGTCCAGTTCTGTGAGATTTGATGGTTGTGGAATCAGCTGCCTGATGGCTCTTTCAACTTCGTCCCACAAATGCTCAATTGGATTGAGATCTGGTGATTGTGGGGGCCAACTAAGCAAGGTAAATTCTCCCTCATGTTATTGAAACATGAGGGATGGCTCCAAGGAGGGAAGAGAGATGACAGATGCAGCGGCGCATTGGCATGGCGCATTGTCTTGTTGAAAGAAGCCATCTCCATTGGGATACGCCATCAACATGATAGAATGAACTTGATAAGCAACGATACTTTGGTGTGTTGTGCTATTCAGATGTCGTTCCACATGAATTAAAGGGCCCAAATCACGCCAGGAAAACATGCCCCAAACCATAACACTGCCCCCACCAGATTGAAGGGTTGTACTCATGCATGTGAGGTGCATGCTTTCATGCTGTTTCCGCCAAATTCTCACTTTGCCATCTGCATGATGATTCATCGGACCACATGACTTGTTTCCAATGCTCGACTGTCCAATCCTTGTGTTCCTGTGCGAATTGGAGACGTTTTATCTTGTTAACTGCAGACAGCAAAGGTGTTGGAACAGGCCTTTGGCTTCCATATCCCATACGATGCAGTGTACGCCAAAAAGGGCGTTCAGAGATCATTTGAGCGGATCCCTGATTAAGATCTGCAGTAATTTGATGCACTGTTGCCCTTCTGTTGTCTTGTACCAGTCTTGCCACTCTCCGTTCTGCCCTAACATTGATTAGTCGCTGACGGCCACAATTTGCGGGTTAAGACACAGATTTTTGGCTGACGGTCCAGTCTTTAAACACTTTAACAACAGCTGCTCTTGCACATTTAATGAATTCTGCTGTTTTGCTGATACTCGCCCCATGTCTCCGAGCGCCAACAATCATCCCACGTTCAAAGGCTGTTTACCCATATCTTCAGAAAAAAAATACTTCTACTGTCGTGGTAAACAACCTGCTTCCCTATTTATAATGGTCTGGCCCTCTAGCAACTTCAGCGTGAAATTATAGCTAATTTGTCTACAAACATCAGGTGGTCATAATAATCTGGCCACTCAGTGTATATAGCCAGGATGGCAGATTTGTATGGCCCAGTTTCAGGTGTAATACTGAAGTTCTTCCTCTAGGGGGAAGTTTTGAGAGGGCTGGAGGCTAAAAGGTGCCCATACACCTTACAGCCATTGCACGACTTTCATTGTGCGATGGTTGTAAGGTGATTAAAAGTTCTGCCCATTATACGATTTTCAACCTTACAATTATCGTACGATCGCGGGATCACCCTCGATTATCGTACGATAATCATCAGGTGTATGGACACCTTTAGAGGTAACAAGTTCAGCTGAAGCAAGCTGGCTCATTAGGGCCTCCATAAGATATCCCAGAATGCGAAGTGAGTTGTTCCACCTGGGAGACAGAGGAGGTCTCTGTGCAGGAGTCAGAAGGGTGGTGAGAACCAGTCTGTGTGGCAATACGCCTGTGTGCCAAGTTGAAAAAAGCACTGGTGTGACTGTGAGAGAAACAGTTGGTTGGGACTAGTCTGAGAAACAAACAGGCAAAGATAGAGGACCAGTGGGTCAAAACGGCCAGACACTGAAAGTAAAAGCCAGAAGGCTGAATATGTGTTTTCTTTGAAAAGTACTGTCTGTACACCCTGTTGGAAAATAATCATCCCTCGTTCAAAGGCTCTTAACCCTTTCGCTGCCAAGGACGTATGCCGTACGGACCTGGCATTTACAGTTCTACTATAAGCTGATGGTCGCTTTAGCGACCATCAGCTTATAGTAGAACTGTTCAACAGACTGTCCCCTTTAAATTTATAGCTGTCATCAGCGGCTCACAAGCCGCTGATGACCGCTATTTTAAAAAATACCGGGTGCCCCCCCCCGCTGGCACCGCCGCTGCATCTGTCATCTCTCTTCCCTCCTTGGAGCCATCCCAGATAGGGATGAGAGACTCCATGGATCCCCACTGCTTGTAGGGTCTGTGGCAGTGGGGATCCGTAAAAAAATCACCGTCGGGTGGTCG